GACTCTCTTGTCGTTTGGGAATTGCAGTACGGAAGTTCGAATGGAGGGAGGCAAAGAAAAGAACACTGAAGCCTGTGGAGAAAGTCCAGTAAGGAAGCAAAGAAGAAATAAATGCAAATATCATAAAAAAGAAGCAAAGAAATTTGGAATTAAAAAAAAAAAACATGGCGGAAAGAAAGATCTAAAAATAATATAAAAATATTGAAGGAAGAAAGTGATAGAAGAAACAAAAAAAGGAAAAATATACTGCTGGTACAAAAGAAAAAGCGAACAGCTCTTAAAAATATATATTCAAAGCAAAAGAAAGTCGAATGCTTTGAGAGGGATGAAAAAGCACGGAGATTAATGGCGGAAATCAAAGAAAATCTAAAAAAGGACTTCAATAGGAAATGAAAAGATGTAAAATAATATAAAAGGAATCAAGGATTAAGAAAAACCGGGAGGGAAAATGTGAAACGTAAAAGATCCCGTTAAAAATTTTCGAATAAGAAATAACAAAAAGAATACAATTATACAAAAATAAATACATTTATTTCATAAGGAAAACAAAGGATTTTAGAAGAAGCATAAAATTCTTAATAAAAATTGATAACAAAACGAATTAGAATTGTCTTTCTTTTCTTACAACAAAAGAAAACGTATCTGTCTATATCCCTGAGATGAGGTATCCTGATTACTTACATTATTCGGACTGTTAATCTCATTTTCACTGACATATTCACAACGTTTCGGCCGCTGTACGCTCCGGCCTTCTTCAGTTGGTTAGAATATTCTTAATAAATAAAAATCAATGAAGATATAGACAAAACACTCATGAGATATGCTTTAATGAAAAATCAAACCCAAACAAAATTTCTGATCTGTTTCTTACTTGTTCTTTATCCTATCATATCTATGTATGCTGATATCTGGCATATCTGGTGGATTTAATGCCAGATATACGAATACAAATGACGTCATCATACAAACGAAATGTGTTAAGGACATCATAAAAATTGAAGACATTTTGAAACCGAACCCTTTATTTCGTCCACTGGGGTAGATTGTTCTAGTTTCATCAGTTCAATACAAGCTACATCAGTGGTGAACCCAAATTGGAGAGTTGAGTTAAAAAGAAATAACTGAGATATCCGCTAGAGTCATGGCACATGGAACTAGAACAATCTACGGTCAAGTTTACAGGAGAGTCCAACTGGTGTACACAGGTCCAGTTTGCATCCGAGTCAAAACGGCACACCCAGGTCCGGTCTGCCCGGGAGACAAAATAATACACACAAGTCAGGTTTACACGAGTGTACAACTGGTACACTCATGTCAGGCCTGCACTAGACTCAAAATGGCGCAAACCAGACCAGGTTACATGCGAGTCCATATGGCCCACCCAAGTTTGGTTTGCCCAAGAGACAAAATAAAAGACACAGGTCAGATTTACATGAAAGTCCAATTGGAACTCAGAAAATCAGGTCAAATTGGTACACTATGGTACGGTTTACACATTATCCAAAATAGTACACATTGGTCTGGTATATATGATAGTCAAAACAAGTCCAGATTGCACGGGAGTTGACACGGTGCACAAAGGTCCAGTTTACATGCGAATCCAAATGGTACACACTGGTCTAATTTGCGTGTGAGTCCAAATGGTACACACTGGTCTAGTTTGCGTGTGAGTCCAAATGGTACACACGGGTCCACTTTGCCTGTGAGTCCAAATGATACGCGGAATTTTGCACCACACATTTGGATCTATGCTAAATACGCACAAACGAATATTGACATTAAGTCATAAGACATTGTTCTCTGAGATAAATAATGTTGCAATAAATTTAAATTTCAAATGTTGCCCCATAATTTTGTCCTTGTGTCATACGATACTACGTTTAGTTAATACTTTTCTCGGGTTTTTATGGAATAATGGCAAGTCAGCGTATTATTACGCCCAGATTCAGTTAATTCTCAAACATAAGCTTGTTTTTTAGGGAAGGGAAAAATGCCCCAACTGTCTTAAGAAAATTTCCAAAATCTAAGCAAAATATTAAGAAATAGGAAAATTTCGCTAGAAACAAAGAAAAGAGCACTGTACTGCTATGTAATATTGGCCATTCTATATAGCAGCGAATGTCGGACAAGCTCTTCACAGATGAAGAGGAGATTTGAAGCAACAGAAATGGGGTTCTACAGAAAGATTGCTGAGAATATCACGGACTGAACAAGTGAGCAACGATCGAGTTTTAGGGAAAATTGAGACAAAAGGACACTTATACACAGAATCAGGAAGAGACAATTGAAATTGGAGTCTTTTTCTCTTATCAGAGCCATTAAAACGAAGGGTAAATTTGAAAAAGAGGACAACATTTCACTGCAAGAAGAAAAACATGAAATAAGCGCAAAATGAAAGTCTAAAATAAAACAAAGATACAGACGCATATACTGGCAAAATTGTTAAGACTTGAACCGTTGCATCTTAGAAATGATTAAAGATATCTTACTGGAATTCTCCGAGGTTTTTATAATACCACTGGACTCTACTTTGAACAATAAGAACGTATTTAGTTCTAACTTAAAATGATGATCCCTCTTCCTGAAGTGACCTCCTGATCCAATTATCCTCTCTGCTGTGCCCTTTTTTTTAAAAACTTATTCAACATTCTCTTTATGGTTCTTGAATGGAAGACAGAGTGTTAATGTTCATACCATTACTGAAGGCTTGAATGATCTATTTCGTTTTAATATTGCTCAGTCAGGAAGACATAGTGGGACTGACACAAAAGGATTTTAACCTGTTGTCTTTAAACTTCAAAGGGTTTTTCAGAGAGTCTCGCGACAAATGGTGACCAAACGCCTCATCTGAAAGCCTGGCAAATAGAAACGAAAATAGTTTAGTGCTTGTTTAGATATTGAATATTTTGTGGGATGGACAATTATCCCATGCTGTTACAAGATTTACACAATTTTGATGCTACACCCGGTATATATATATAAGTTTTTAGCTTCTGTTTTTGAAACATGGTTATTACTGTGTAGCGAAAATCCATATTTTCAATCAGTTAATTTATTATATATATATATATATATATATATATATATATATATATGTATATAATTATTTATTTAAAAATTATAACATAAATATGTTATAAAATCACTACAAAAATAGCCATTTTGTTTCAACACCTCCAGTGTCTTATCAAGTGATGATGTTGAATGTAGAATAAATGGTTTTAAAAGTTTCAAATTAATTAACGATCCTTCGCAAGGAGAAAACGCTGTTACATAAGCTAGAATGATCAATCAAAACACAAGTATAAGCGAATTCAAAAAACTTAACAACGAAGTAAGGTTAAAATAGCTATTAAGAGCTTTAAAGTTGGGGTTATACTAAAATAGAATTTATTCTAACAAATAAGTATTAAATTATATGATAAAATCTGATATTAAAATTAAAAGTAAAAAATTACCAATTTTAAAATCTAAATTTAATCTCTATTAAGTTAAAAATTATAAAAATACTGAGGAGAAAAGAAAAAATACATGTTATTCAATTTATTTTTTCATTGAAATTACGTTAGAATTAACGCTGGTCTTCCTGACAAAATGTATACATTTTAATCCTAAGTGTGTGAGTGGGGTGCTAACCTCTCGCGTAAAACAATACAAACACACTCAGATTATAATACCCAGACGTATTTAGATATACACACACAAAAAGGTGACGAGACAGGAAACATATCCACGGCCATTTATATAAAAAAAAACAACAAAAAAACGAACGCATACATACATACACAATTAAATGTGCATGCATTTTCTATACACATAAACACCGATAAATACATGTACACACATCCACATACATTGGATAGACAATCTGATCCAACAACCAAGAAATATTGAATGTCTATTATGTCTGATCCTGAGCCGTTCAAATATTCGAATGTTTTCTTTAATTTCGGTGAAAATAAAGACAAAATTGTCCAAAATTTGGATATTTTTTTTATTAAGGTGGTCCTTGATCTAAGCTTTCTGTTCACATGATCCATCTTCAGAGTGGTTACACAGACATTTAAACAAAGATAATCACCATTGAAGATATTTTGTTATGTTGACATAGAAGATTGCTATAGTGATTTACTAAGCGGTGCTTAGATGTGGCACAAGGCCGTAAAATATGGGGCACCCAGTGAGGATCGAACTCACTACTCAGTCGTAAATGTTCTAGCGAGACAAACTTGCTAACCATTACAACACGCCGAGGTGCCCCAGAAGATTGCTATATTACGATAACGTTCGCGGAATAGCAGACGCAGGTCGTAAGTTCAAGACGCGTTTCTATGACGTCATACGCCTGAGGCCGAAATAATAACACCAGAACCATATGTTCAGATGCAATGTAATGTCTTGTGACTAGTTTGAAATGTGGGTTGCTTTGTTTTAGTGTAGATAGCCTCCAATATCTGAAGGTTCTTTTTTACTGTACGAGTGAGTATTATTGAGTTTTTAACTATTATCTGTTTCATATTATGTACATGGCTATGTTTTGCTAAGAAATGTTGTTTAATAGAACTAAGATCAGAAAGGTGACAGGTTAGTCTACGGGAGAGGGTGGCTGTAGTAAAACCAATATATTCAGTGAACGAGGATGTAAATTGAATTTTGGACATTTTATGCCTTTATTTTCACCCGAAATTATAAACACACATACGAACTTTAGAACGTCTCATGATCAGAAATAATAATAATTTTGTCTGTTATATTAAGCAATATATATATATATATATATATATATATATATATATATATATATATATATTTAAAATTAGGAATTATTTACACACCTGCTATCATCCACTTCTTAAATTTTATTATATATTTAAAGCTCAGCTTGTTCAATTGATCGTAATGATATTAGACCGCTTTTCAATACAACCTTCCTCCGATCGGTCCCAACTCTGGCCAACTCTGACCTACAATCGATTATATATATATATATATATATATATATATATATATATATATATGTATATATATATATATATATTAAACAAAAACAGACAACTTTAAGGTTCCATTATAATAATTTATTTCACCAGGGCCCTTTTAAAGAACGCCTTGTGACTACCCATACGGATTACCAAGTTTTTTATAACTCTCTCTCTCTCTCTCTCT